GACAAAATCGGCCACAATTTTTTTTTTCTGAGTAACAATATTGAAATTTCCTACAAAACCCAATGATCACTAGAAGCAAGGTTTTTAGCGAATCACCATATTGAAATTTCATACAAAATAACCCGTTCATGATATGATCCCTAAGTTCCCAGAAATCGTCCAATAATCTATAAAATTATAAATAAATAAAAATGCCTGATGTAAGCAATGCTTGTATAAAATATATATATATATATATATATATATGTGTGTATGTATCATACATAGTATGTGTACCTGTGTCATCAATGGTAGACCTTCACAAATTTTAGCAATCGCCCGTCCAATTCTCTCTAAACCAAGAGGTATATCAGAACTCTACCATCTGAGCAAGCTGCATGTTTCAATATGGACCAGCATTCATCTCTTCATAGGAGGTCCAAATTAGGCCGCGGAAGTGTTTCTGTGAGTGATGCAACTACACCACTGCGGGTAGTGACAATAATTTTGCTTCCTGGAGCAGAATTCAACTTTGACAAACAGCTCTTCAACCTTTCCCATTTCTCAGACTCTTCATTCCAAACATCATCAAGTACAAGAAAATACCTTTTTCCCGACAACTCTTCTCGGAGGTTTGTAAGCAATGCTTGCTGACTTGTCGTCGCTACCTTTCCTGAGAGTAATTCTAACATCGCAGTTAAAATTGAATTGACGTTGAAAGTGTTTGATACACACACCCACAATTTTTTGTTGAAATACACATCGATAGCACCTTCATTGTACACGGACTGGGCCAAAGTTGTCTTTCCCAGTCCTGGCATTCCCGCAATCGCCATAACCGACAGATTTTCTTGATTCATGTTGGAGTTGGTCAATGTTGTAACTATGTCTGACACAGCGTCCTTCCTTCCAATGATGATTTCATCTTTACCAATGAATGCGTTGGTTTCTCGGTCCTCTCTAATTCTTTGAAGGGTTGCCTCTTTTTTCTTTGCAATTAATTCGATGCAAGATGCTTCGCTCTTGAGCTCCGCCATAGAAGCGCTGATTTTTCTAATTCTATGTGCCATTTTTAGTCGAAACAAAATGGGATTGGAGGGAGAAAAGAAGTTGAGCACCTCTTTACACATATCGTTATGCAGTTCTACTCGTCTCCGGAGAAATTCATTGTTGATTTCTTCAAAGACATCATGAGCCTCATCAGCTATTTCCTTAATTAAGTTTCTTCACCCAGCCTTACACTGGCTTGCCACCATCTTGTGCCTTCTTAGCAGCACCTCCTAAGAAATCTTGAAGGATGGATAAGGATTCGTTGAGCTTCCCTAGTTCAGCTTTGTATCCTCAGGCAAGACTGATTTCTTGAGCAGCAAGGGAAGTCAGCTTCGTCAGTATTCCCTCGGTCGCGAAAGTAAGCAGAGATTCTACTGCCATCTTAGTTTCCTTGTGTAAACCCTGCGCAAGACAAACATCAGATAATATTAGTGCTAGTTAATTAATTAAGAAACGAGAAGAAGAGACTGAAGATGGATGAAGACGCACAGGCATAGAGCTTCTCTCGTAGGTAGAAGGAGAAGGAGATGAGGAAGGCAGATTTGCAATACAAGACAACAATAGCACGCAGAGTTTAAGATACTTCTGGATGCAGCTACGACAAATTACTAAAATCTTGTTTACTTGATACTTTCCGCAATTCTTTAAAAAACACCTTACGCCCGTCCTTTCAAGTCTTTCCCCATAAAAGAGAAGATTATATTCAAAATAAGAGACGGGCCCATTAGAAGACAAGTGGAAGTGGAAGTTTGAAAACCTTACATTTCTTCACTGTCAAAGTTGGAGCTATTATGAATTCATTGTACGCATAGAGTCAATCTGTCTGCAGTCTAGTCACCAAACTGACAAGAAAAAGGAGAAGGATAAACAAGTCTTATTCCTTTGAGAAATGATTTAGAATGAATAAACTCTAGTTAAACCGAAAGGTGAAGAATGAAAAGGATTTTGATTCCAGGAAAGAAGAAATTACTGTAGATTTTTGGGATGTGAGAAATCTTGGGCCACTCTGTGCCGCTGTCCTTGGTGCATCTTTCCTCCAGAAGGGGACATTCCCAAATTCTTAGGGTTTGTAATTTGGTGAGGCGTTGCATAGCTGTGACACTAGGTAGATTCATGAGCTTCTGGCAATACCGAATGTCTAGCGTTTTAAGGGATGTAAGGTTACCCAACCAATCCTCAAGAGCCTCCACTCCATTGAATCTGCGTATCTGTAAAGATGTTAGAGAAGTGAAGTGTTGAATTTGTTGAGGCAAATACTTGAGCTTGGGCCACCCCGTCAACTCTAATCTTTGAAGTTGTGATGATCCAATTCCAAGATGGAAATCAGGGAAGGAATCGAGCTCCTCACAAAACCAACCAAGTTCCAATGCCTTCAAACTTGCGCAGCAATGTAGCCGTGTGGGCAGATATTTTAATTTCCCACAATTATAAATCACCAACTGACAGAGAGATGTGAGGTTGTCTAAACTCCGAAGACTCTCTAAATTAGGGGCATTTCTTATTTTCAACTCCACAAGAGAGGAGGGCAGTTGTACGCCACTACTCACCAAACTTTCTAATCTCTCACAATGTTGAATGCTCAATTGACAGAGGGAAGTGAAGAGGTTTAAATTTGGAATAGACTGTAGACCATCACAACTCCATATACCCAAATCCACAACAGAGACGGGCCCACTACTCACCAAACTTTCTAATCTCTCACAACTTTCAATGCTCAATTCACAGAGGGACGTGAAGAGGTTTAAATCTGGAATAGACTGTAGATCACCACAACTCCATATATGCAAACGCACAATAGAGATGGGCCCACTACTCACCAAACTTTCTAATCTCTCACAACTTTTAATGCTCAATTCACAGAGGGATGTGTAGAGGTTTAAATCTAGAATAGATTCTAGACCACCACAACTCCATATACGCAAATCCACAACAAAGACAGGCCCACTACTCACCAAACTTTCTAATCTCTTACAATTTTGAATGTTCAATTTACAGAGGGACGTGAAGAGGTTTAAATCTTGAATAGATTCTAGACCAACACATTTAATTATACTCAACTCCACAACAGAGACGGGCCCACTACTCACCAAACTTTCTAATCTCTCACAATTTTGAATGTTCAATTTACGAAGGGATGTGAAGAGGTTTAAATCTGGAATAGATTCTAGACCACCACATTTAATTATACTTAACTCCACAATAGAGACGGGGCCATTACTCACCAAACTTTCTAATCTCTCACAACTTTTAATGCTCAATTCACGGAGGGACTTGAAGCTGTGCAAATCTTGAATAGATTGTAGACTAGGGCACTGGTATATAAGTAACTTTCGAAGAGATGCACAACAACCAAAGACATCGGGGGCAATACAAGTTAACTTCTCCCAATCTCTTATCTTCATACGTTCTATCTTCAACAACATCTCTTTAGACAGACATGTAAGCTCCTTATGACCTTGTATATTCAACTTCTTCAGAGATGGGAAATGACTAGGAGCCTTCCTCAGGTTGGGACAATTCCGGATATCTAGCTTCCCCAGGCAAGGAAACACCATGACTTGTTCTGGTGCTTCCATCCATTCAATTAGCTCCTTGCAATCATGAATGTGTAATTCTTTCAGTGCTGGAAATACAACCACTCTCCTTATACCTGCCGTAGCCTCATCATAAACAAGATCAGTTCCGTAAATCTCTGCTCCAACACATTTTAGATTATCTATTCCTTCAATCCAAACAAATGTAAGATGAGGTAGATGGCCGAGTGTTGGGACTTCTTCACATCTGTTGCGCCCCTTAAGCTTAATCTGCTTTAAATTGTCAAGCTTAATCATCCATGATGGAAATTTAGTACCCATGAAATATTGAATCTCTAGCCTTTCCAACTCAGAATGCGGCTGGAGGCCTTCTAGTACGTCCTCCTCATTATTATTGTTGGTTATTGATCTATCTTTCGACCATACAAATATCAAGCCGCGTAAGTTTTTCTTATTCTTTAATTTAGCTATCCTTGCCTCATCTCTATTCCTTACATGTTCCAAATTACAAATAATCAATTTACCCTTCAATTGATTCAAGGCAGCCAGCTCCTCAATTTCCCTACCCATCACCACATAATCCTCATAAGGTAATTTTCGGAGGCTAGTCAATTTCCCTAAGACCCCAACAACTGGAAATTTCGTTCCCCTGTCACAATAAACATGTCTCAAGTTGATCAAGTTTTGCACATCTTTTGGAAATTCTTCAAGGCGGGAGTTTGTTGCTCTTAATGTCTGTAGGTTATATAGCCTGCCAATAGAATTTGGGATACTTTTGATTACTGTAAAGGAAATGTCAAGATATCTCAAGTGTTTCAGCTTTCCGATTGAACTTGGAAGCTCCTCAATATATACGGCAAATAATTTCAAGACGCGTAAAGCTTTAAACACTGGCAACATGTTTCGAGGTAGTGCTTCAGCATTCAAAAACAGTGATCTTAATTTCCCACTACTTCCTTCTGGAATTCTTTCTATAATACTGGGAGTTGCAACATGTTGAATCTTGGGGAAGTCTCGCATCATGCATCCAGATTCGGATACGCGTTCTGCAAGATCGTGCAAGAGATCGTGCATCTTGCATTGAATAACAATGCCCTCATCATCCACTATAGCATCTTGAAATAAGGAGCTTTGGAATAGAATATCAAAATATTCATTACCTATATCCTCCATCTCTAGATTACTTTGTTCTGAACAAGGATGGAGTAATCCTTGAGCCATCCAAAGTTGAATCAAGACATCTCTTTCCATCTCGGCATCTTTCATGAACGTTGAGCAATATGCAAAACATTGCTTCAATGCTGGTGATTCCAAATTATCGAAACTCAACTTCAAGACTGACATGATTTTATCTTCTCCCTTTGGTAACTCCCATATTCTACTGTCTTTGACTTTAGACCATTCAGTAGTAGTCTTTTTAGAGCGCAAAATGCCTTCCAAAACCTAGTAATGGATTAGAGAATTTCTATCAAATAATAAGTAGGATAAAATAATTAGCAATTTAAAGAAGAGTCATTCAGATATAGCCCCATGCAACTAAAATAGTCTAGACAAAAACCGACATATTTCTAACTAAAAACTAAAACCCAAAATTTGAATTAAACCCCCTATGTTTAGCACCAAACCGATTCTCCCTTTTAAATCCCTTACTTTCTTAGACAAAAAATAAAATAAAATCCCTTTTATCAACAATCCCCCGACCGGCAAGCCCATATGAAATTCTTATTGTAAATATTATAGGTAGCCTATGCATAAAAAAACTTTTGGATACGAGATTGAATGTTTTATTGTATAATAATCTAAAAAAAGAAGGTGGTTTCTATGGGGTTTGGATTATTTATTTATTATTTTTAGCACTTTTTTATACTTGTTTAAACTTTAAAGGCTTTTTATCACAAATGGTCCTTGACGTTTACGAAATTATCACGAATGGTCCTTGAGGTTTTTTTGTGATATTAATAGTAACGTTTGGACTTTTTATCACAAATGGTCCATGACATCAGAAATTCTGTTAAGTATTTGATGTAGTGGATAAGTGGAGCCACATGTCCAATCACATCGTGACATGTGGATTAAATAAATAAAGAAATATTTTTTTATAATAAATATCCATGTTTTTGTGCAACTTCTCATCCCCTCTCTATACTCAATCTCTCTCTCCCGATGTACTCTCTCTCCTCCCTCTAGCCTCTCTCTCTTTCCCTCTGCCCTCGCCCTCTGTTGCTCTCCCTCTCCTCTCCCTCTCCCTTAAACATATAGTCCGAAAGTTAATTAGCTTTCTCTTGTTTTGATGGAAAAATTATATCAAAAGTTTGTTTGATCCAAATGATTAAGCCATTCAATGCAAAAGAATTGAAACAGAGGCAACAAATGATTATTTAGGTTTTATTAGGTTTGTAAAGGCAACAAAGAACTTTCAGTCGGGCTGTAGAGGCTACAAAAAAACAGAGGGAGAGGGAAAGCACAGGGAGGAGAGAGAGAGAGAGAGAGAGAGGCTAAATGGTTTTTTTAATGGATTTTCATAAAAAAAAATATTTCTTTATTTATTTAATCCACATGTCACGATGTGATTGGACATGTGGGCTCCACTTATCTTCCACATCAAACACTTTACAGAATTCTTGATGGCAGGAACTATTTGTGATAAAAAGTCCAAACATTAAGGATTGTTAGTGTCACAAAAAAACCTCAAGGACCATTCGTGATAATTTCGTAAACGTCAAGGACTATTTGTGATAAAAAACCAACTTTAAAAAGAGGGAATCTCTTTTATTATTGTTGACCGACAGATGATGCATGAGAAAAGCCTCCTCACGTGAAAAAATAAATTGTTGTTGACAGACATATCACATTTAATTGATTTTCTAATAGTTTAATATCTTTTAATAGCAAATTGATAGAATATCTATAAATTGTAACCCCTAATTTTATATTTGTTAGGTTATTAAAATTATTTACCAATAAGCAATATTTTATCAATACTGAGGTTAATTAAGGGTTTGGAGACATCCCTGGAAGAGCCAAGAGTTGGAATCATACTGGAATATCTTTGTTGGTTTCTATTTAATAAAGTGATTGTGATAGGCATGATGACATGAAACTATTCTCTTCTTTCAGACCATGTTATTTCCTTCAACATGAAAATGCATCAATGCAATTCAAAGTAACTCATTCATGATATGATCCCTAAATGCCAAGAACTCATCCAACAATCTATAAAATTTTAAATAAATAAAAATGCCTGCTGTAAGCAATGCTTGTATCAGTAAAAAAACAAAGAAAAAAAAAGTGAGTGAGAAAAATAATATATATATATATATATATACATATAGTACGTGTACCTTTGCCATCAATGGTAGACCATCACATTTTTTAGCAATCTCCCGTCCAATACTCTCTAAATGAAGAGGTACATCAGAACTACCATCTGAGCAAGCTGCATATTTCAATATGGACCAGCATTCATCTGTTGATAGAAGTTCTAACTTAGGCCGTGGAAGTGTTTCTGTGATTGATGCAACTTTGACACTGCGGGTAGTGACAATAATTTTGCTTCCTGGAGCAGAATTCAACTTTGACAAACAGCTCATCAAACGTTCCCATTTCTCCAAATCTTCATTCCAAACATCATCAAGTACAAGAAAATACCTTTTTCCCGACAACTCTTCTCCGAGGTTTGTAAGCAATGCTTGCTGACTTGTCGTGGCTACCTTTCGTGAGAGTAATTCTAACATGGCAGTTAAAATTGAATTGACGCTGAAAGTGTTTGAAACACACACCCACAATTTTTTGTTGAAATACTCATTGATAGCACCTTCATTGTACACTGACTTGGCCAAAGTTGTCTTTCCCAGTCCTGGCATTCCCACAATCGCCATAACCAACAGATTTTTTTCATTAGTATTGGAGTTGGTCAATGTTGTAACTATATCTGACACAACCGCATTCCTTCCAATGATGATTTCATCTTTACCAATGAATGCGTTGGTTTCTCGGTCCTCCCTAATTCTTTGAAAGGTTGGATCTTTTTTCTTTGCAACTAACCCAATGAAAGCTGCTTCATTCTTGAGATCCGCCAGAGAAGCGCTGATTTTTCTAATTCTGTGTGCCATCTTTTGTCGAAAATTTGACGCAGAAATGAAGTTGAGCACCTTTTTTCCCATTCGGTTTTGCAGTTCTACTCGTCTCCGGAGAAATTCATAGTTGATGTCTTCCAAGACATCATCAGCCTCATCAGCTATGTCTTTAAGTTTCTTCACCCAATCTCCCTCTGCCTTGCCCCCATCTTTTCCCTTCTCAGCAACATCTCCTAAGAAATCTTGAAGGATGGATAAGGATTGACTGAGCTTCCTTAGTTCAGCTTTGAATCCCCAGGCCATACGGAATTCTTCAGCAGCAAGGTCAATCAGCTTCGTCAGTATTCCCTCGGTCGCAAAAGTAAGCACAGATCCTACTGCCATATCTTAGTTTCCTTGTGTAACCCTGCGCAAGACAAACAGCAGATCATATTAATGCTAGTTAATTAATTAAGAAACGAGAAGAAGAGATGGATGAAGACGCACAGGCACAGAGCTTCTCTCGTAGGTAGAAGGAGAAGGAGATGATGAATGCAGATTTGCAATACAAGACAGCAATAGCACGCAGAGACCGGCAGAGGAGCTTCTTTAACTCTCAGGAGGAGACTTAAAAGTCTTGCTGGGCTCTACCATTTTGATATTTGTGGACACATGCATTTCTCACCAACCGATCATTAAATACCTTCAATCTACTTTATACCGTGGCACATGCATTTGTTGGCATTTGTCTGGTGGTGGTCTCAAGTACCAACGAATAATGAGACTACAAACAATTTCATGAGAAAATAAGTCCATTTTTAAACAGAGTGTAAGAACAGAACGGTAAAAAGCATTTTTAGTTACTAAAGTTAGGTAGGTACGAAAACAATTTTGATGACCGTAATTTCAATTTTTCCAATTTAACCATCACTCTCTCTTATCCCTCACTCTGAACATCATCAATCAATTTTGTTTTTTGGAACGGCAAATCAACATATTATACAACATGTGTAATTTACATATATCTGGCAAGGTTTCGAGAGACATAAATAAAAATAGACTAATATATTCTGTTACAATTTATAGACATTCTGTTATCTTTCGTTAAATGTAGTTTTTATTATTATTATTTTTTTTAGGACTCTCCTTCAGTCTTCTTCCTCTAACTCAACCAGTTATGATATATATATATTGTGCTATTAGACTTTAGCAAAATGCGGGAAATCTTAGGTTGAAATCAAAATTGTGAGGTATAAGGAAAATAAAAAAGCAAAATCAAATTAAAATGAAATCAACAACATACCAATATTTTTTTGTGCTCTATCACCTTGATTATGTCTCATTTTCAACCAAAGTCACAATACGGTTCTCACTCAATTGATTCAGACTTCAATATAACACCCAATTTGTGACATTATACCTCATTATTTCAATTTCAACCCAAGATTTCCCCATATTTTTAAAACTCTTATAGCACAATAACCTAACTCTTTGAGTTAGAGGAAGAAGACTTGAACGTGCTTCATGAAAATATAAAAAAAAACTGCACTTAATGGAAGTTGACGGAAGATAATGAAACGTCTATAAATCGTAAAATTTTGGAAACACAGTGACCAATTTGGCTAAATTTTTTTGAGTGACCAAAAAGGTATTTAACCCTAAAATTATTAACGAGTGTTGAGGCCCAAAAAATCCATGGTTGGGCCCGAATAAATTCACGGCCCAAGACGATATATTATTGGAAAAAGACTCAATTCGAAGTGCACAAAAGTTTTCCGTGCACGAGCCATATTCTACATGCCATGCCAAATAAAAATCTATCATGCTAGAAACTGAGATAAAATTATAAGAGTGCATTTAGCTTTGCAAATCCATGCCAATTATCTCATCAAGCGCATGCCAAGCAACGCGCTATGCCAAGCGGGAAATTATTATCCCACAACAAGCTTAAGTAGGCCTAAGCCACTTAAATGCCTGGGGCTTGCTTGAGTAGGATTGTGGTGTGGATGGTAACAAATTATCATGGGGCCCATGGATGGGCCAAGGAATGGAAGTCT